GTATTTTCAATATCATCACTTGATCATATAAAAAAGATGCAGGTGGATCAACCTCATCTCGATGCTGTGCCCATGATAGAAACCAAACTAAAATAGCAGCTTAATGCTGCTGTGTTTCGAATGGTGAGTATAGAAAACCGGAGACCCTTTTTAATGGAAACAAGGCATTCTATCTCAGTTCTCAGGGCTGGTAACGCATCTGCATTTTCATTTTCAATTGAAGATAAATATAGATGTCTATGGGCCACAGCATCCACTTACAATTAGGTGGACTGTGTGCTCGTTTGTCACCCTATTTCTATAAAAAAAGAGAAAATCAATTTTTTTGTTAATCATCCTCTCTTGCAACTACAGCATCAAGGAATGTTGCAGGTGCTGGTATTGTCGGCTGATGCCTGGCCCACCTAAGATACCACACAAGCGTCATAACATGTGCACAGCACCCAACTGTTCTTCTACCAAATAAACAATTACAGCAATAGTCTATTATACTGCCCTGATACGGAAAAAGGCGGCTAAGTGCATTTTGTCGATTTTGAGCTTTCAGCACTACTAGACTAAGCAAAAAATTCTCTATCGACCAATATTGGAATTATATTTTTACGATTGATAGTTTCCTGAGATACATTAAGCATTTTGGCGGTTAAGTGCAAAATTTTCTTTGCTGTCATGCTAGAAATCAGTTAAGATGCACCGTTACGCTATATAGCCGTTAAGAGATTTTAACGATTTATTTTCTTAGTTGAAATTTAATATTTGATGTTGTAAAACTAAGAAAAAATGCAGTTAAACACATTTTATAATAAAGGCCGTTAAGCGTAAATAACTGCTTTATTACTTAGTTGCAGCCATGCTAGGCTATACCTAATAATATGCTAAAAAGCGGTAAACACTTGTAGTAGACACTAAAACACGGCTAAAAACACCTAACTGTTTTCAAGCGTAGAATTTAAAAAATATATTAAAATCACGTACTTCCCAAAAAAGCATTCACTGCTTTTTAGTGTATGATGAACCTTTGAATTATATTTGGAACAATATTTAAACAGCGGCAAAGTGCATGTGTTACTCTAAAAAGCGTCTAAGTGTAAGTTTAGCAATCGATGTGTACATGAAGAATTATATCGGCAAGTTTTAAGAGTTAAAAAAAGTATGATCAGAACTCTTGTCCGAGTGTGTCAGAGGTATATTCTTTGGTTTGGGTTTTAAAAAACTGTATAATGATTCTCCGAAAAAATGTTGAGTGTAAATGTTAAGTTAAAATGAAAAGGACTTTAACACTCAATTTTCCCATTAAATTGCAACTAAATTAAAAAAAGGAAGAAATTTAATAGAATTTAAAGTAAATAAAATAGTTATATTTATTTTTAAAATACAACTGGTTTTTACGGATTTTATCGCGTATATTAACTTTTTTTATATTCCCGACGTTTCGATTTCGAGCACTTTACAGCACCCATGGTCACGGGGGGGGGGGGGGGACTGAGGTCTTAGACGTCCCGATGTAATAGTTACCCAGGGTTATTCACACAATAAAATTATTAATTTTTGTTCCGATCTACACAGTATGAACTTATAGTATCTTGAAGTCTTGCAGTTGTATGCTTGGGTTGAGATTTATTTTTATTAATTATAGGATCCCAAGCAGATGGTAGCGCAATCCTACTTCTCTATTGAAATTAGGATGTTTTTTTGATTTCAATAGCCTCGCAAATCATCCTTGAAAGAAATCTGTGTGCCTTAGCGAGAATTTGTGGTCTATCAAATCTGATGTAGTGACTGGGCGATCCTGTACGTGTTCACAGACTGCAGACTGCCCGGAGCGTCGATTCTTCACATCAGCTATATGTTCTTTACCGCGGGGTTTAATCGATCGTTTGTCCTATCTTATAAAATATGGGCACTATCATCTGCCTGGGATCCTATAATTAATGAAATTAAATCCGAATCCAAGCATACAACTGCAAGATTTCAAGATATTATAAGTTCATACTGTGTAGATCGAAACAAAAATTAATGATTTTAATCTGGTGGTTAACTATAACATCAGGACGTCGGACATCTTAGTCCCCCCGCAACCATGGGAGCTGTAGTGCTCGAAACGTCGGGAATATAAAAAAGTTAATATACGCGATAAAATTCGTAAAAACTAGTTTTATTTACATGTGTAATGTTCGCGTAAATATGAGAAATCATTACATAATTATTTTTACGATTATATTTTCCACTCATTTTAAATTTAAGTTCATGAACTTGTATGAATATTTTTTGAAACTGGCATCTCCAATGAAATCGCCACTTAAAAAACTTTACTTAAAAAGTAATCAATAATAGCACATTTTATTCAAATCTCCTCCTCTCTAATACGTAAAAAGAGCGTTATATTCATAACAATATAAAATTTTAAAATATGCTACGGCCAAGGAGTGTTCAATTGAATTTTGAGGTCTGACAATAGTTTTCATTGTGCATACATGGATTTGGATTACCATTACACCAAATTCATAAACTAATTTTTTTCCTAATTTAATACTAAATCGTTTCCGAACGTAAGGGAGCTTAGTTCTCCCTTCTTACATTACTTGAGTATTTATATATATTTTTATTTTACACCTTGAATAATGCCTTGATTTAACAAAGGCAAGAAGTTAGTGAGCGTGGCGAGAGAAGCGACAGCAGAAGACTGTAAATTACATTTAATCAGTGGGCACATTGGACACGACTGGCTTCCCGTTCTTTAATATTTGATTCACTTTGGTCTTGATCATACTACATGGATATCCATAAGTGATTCTGAATCAATTTACAAAATTTTATCAACTATAAAAGTTAAGCGGGATGTTCAAACTTGATATCTCACAACACCAAAATAAAGATACACAATGAATTCACCTAACTGAAAAGGAATAAAACGCTTGGTATATTTTTTGTTATGAAGAAATGGTACCATCTATAAGCGATGTATATAATTGTAATGATTATGTTATATTTAATTGTGTAGTTCAATATAGCCTTTCGAGTGATGTCGGTACTGCTGTGATTTTGCAGTGCATCAAGGATGTAGTAGACGTGCGCGCCACGCCGGCGCCGCCGCGCCGCGCCGACTTCAGGACGCGCCGCCGCCGCCAAGACATTCTCTCGGTGCGCCGAAGATGGCCGAAGCGCGGTCGAGCGTTTACGAACGTATTGCTGGCGGGAAGAACGGGGCGCGGGGAGGGTAAAGAGGCGAACTTCTCTCCTCTCACCAGTGTTGCCATATGTACGGATTTGTCCGTACTCCGTACGTGTACGGAAATTGGGCATGCTGTACGGATAAAAGTTGCGTACGGATATGCGTACGGATTTCCTATCTACCGATAAGTTTCAATATTTTAGAAAGCTACACGCACGCTCAACCATTAATTCGTAATTAACAATAATAATTTGTTATTTAATCTACATTATTTCACTAAGCACTATACCCCGTCCAGAATCAAGAGAGCATTTTTGCCATACTAAATGGTGGTTTTCTTATAGTGAAAATTCTCTCTTGATTCTGGACGGGATATAAGTGCGAAGTTCATCTGCATTATTCTCCTATTGATGAAAACCTAATTAAATTACGAAACCAACTTTCAACTGAGACTATCGAAGGTCTTCTTCATACAAAACCATTGATACACCCTGTTTTAAATTTGAAATTAGTGCAGAAAATATTAAAAAATTAATAAAGACGTACATAAACAAAAATGTTAGTATTTTTACTTTATTTCATACAGATTTCTTCAGATTTTTAACTTTTTCCATGCGTACGGACTTTGTACGGATTTTTTTGTTAGATGTCCGGATTTTTAGTCTCGGCTGTATGGCAACACTGCCTCTCACCGTGTTGTCATTCGTTCGGTTCGGTCGCCCGTCGCCCGCGCCATTTTATCCTTGAATTGCTTTGACTGGAGGCACGGAGGTTATAGTGCACATTTACGATGGCTTCAGTTTTGGCTACATTTAATAAAACAAAAGTGAAACACTTTTCGATATTAGTTTTATACGATGCGAAATCAAAATCAAGTTTTTGCTGGCGGCATTTCGGAGATTTGATTTTCGAGGAGAATAATCGAAAGAAAAAAGTGGCTACTGATCAAGTATTCTGTAACGCTTGCTTATCTTCTGTTCATAGAAGAAAATGATGAAATTACATTTGGCGTGTAAGTACAGTACCGATATTTAAAGTACCTACCATTTTGTTCAGTTTATTTTCGACAATAATGTACTATTACCTAATTTATCTATGTAGGATATCATCGTCATCATGAGATGAGAACAAACGGAATTTTCATCCAGGAAACAATAGGTAAAATTCAATGAACATAGTGTTAGTGTGTTCAAATAATTAGCTACAATAAACATACTAATACTAATAACCTGCTAGCTTCATTAACTGTTTGTCATTTGCAGTCATCCTAAATCCTAACTAACTAATGAATGTGATGTGTGTGTGGTGTGTGCCCTGTGCATGATGCTGCGCGATATGATGCTTTTAAATGTTTTCTTGTTAGTCAAAAGTTGTTCAGTATCTACAGTACTGAGCCAAGCTTGACTGGTGGGTGTGGTGTGGTGATGAGCTTGGTTTAAAGTGTACATACCTACCTAACCTAATGTAGGTAACGCGTGTGTAATGCGGTGAGATATTGAGCATTAAATGTTTTCTAATTTAAAGATGTTTACGGCTTGACTGGTGGTGAATGAGTTTGGTTCAATCAAAGTGTTCATTTTGCATGTAGTTTTTGCATATCTATGTTGTTTGTTTTCCAGGACTGAAATAAAATCATACGCCAAAACTGTGAGCACAGGAAATCTAAGCAGACATTTGCGAGATTCTCATGATATTCGAGAGGATAGCTCTAAAGTAGCTTCAAAAAATATCACACAGTTTTTTAACTTAACCGCGACCAAAGGCAACTACAAGTAGAAGTAGTACATCAAAAGCAAAAAAGACGAATGCATGGTTACTTGCTCGAGATATGGTTCTCTGGTTTTGTAAGTCTCTGATGCCGTTCGATTCGATATCTGATCAAGCTATGAAGGATTTTTTTCAAGTAAGTTTACGTTTAAATTATTAACCTGTCCTGTTACTTACCCTCGAAATTTAAACCGTTGTTTGGTGGCACAGTAGTGCCTCTGGGCCAAGTCGAATCTCGATTGGGCAAAGACTTAAGACAACTACATGATTTTGTTTATCAAGTTATAATTATCATTTCAGAAATATGACATCATTGAGTCTGATGCAGACATGCCTTCTAGAGACACGGTGTCTCGCACTGCTCTTGATGACGTTTATGAAAGCATGCTGAATGATGTCAAATCTCAAATACGAGCAGATGCGCCTCGACATGCAGCTATCACATTTGATCTATGGTCTGATCAATATCGACACCGGAACTACATAACATTTACATTTCACTACTTAACAGCTGGTAAGTCATAATCATAATACTTCCTTATTTATTTATTTAATTTTCTATCTATCTATGCTAGATAGCTTGCCTCGTCTTTATTGCGAATCCAGTTTTATGTTCACGTAGTTTTTGTTATTATTTCACAATGCATTAATATTGAGCACATTCAAGATCAAACGATCAAGAGGTGTTAATAATGAAATATGTCAATATTTAAAGATAGCTAGATACTGTTTATAATTCTGTTACAGATTTGAAGCTCAAGTTTTTTTACTTTGTGCACTAAACTCATCGAGGGCAAAAAATCCGGAGAAAAAATAAATGGGATGTTGAACGACGCAAAAGAGTGCTTTGGACTTCAAGGAATAGAGCTCCACCCTGTGACTGATGCTGGATCAAATGTCCAACGAGCGATTCGACTTGCGGATCTAGACTCCCATTTGTGCTTAGGCCATGGTTTACATGACCTGGTGACTGTAGATGGAATTGACAGTGTACCCGAATTATCATCATTGGTCAAAAAATGCAAAAAGATAGTCAAGACGGTTCGCTATCGTTTACCAGAGTTAGAACGTTCTGCAAAAGAACAACTAAAAGTTTTACAATCTATGGAAGAAGTATCAAACCATTTAGAAATGGATGAAAATCAGCCAATTGTTAATGAAGAGCCCGAACCATATTTGGTTTCCGAATCGCAAACCATCAGCGATGAATTCAGTAACATAAATCATGTGCCGACTATCAAAACTTCTTTGCCAACTCGTTGGCATAGTGTGCTAGCTATGCTGGAAAGTCTGGCACATTTTTGTAACAGAGAACCAGTTAATAACATATTGTCAGAGATAGGAAAGAGTGATCTAAAAATTTGTCAAAGGGAGTGGAACCTATTAGAAGATCTTGTCAGATTTCTACGCAAATTCCGTGAAGTCGTAGAAATGTTATCAACACAGAAGGCAACTTCACTGAATTTAGCACTGGTGTTGAATTTGGAAATCAGGGATATCCTTCATTCAGTGACAGATGAAGAAACGCTTGTAATGGTTCAGCTCAAGAACAAAATGCTGGCAAAGTTAGAAAAAAGATTCCCAATCACTGAAAAAGTTGTAGTTGCGGCGCTGTTGGATACTCGGTTTATAAGCCTGACTCAAATAGATACGTACTTGGAACAAAAGAATAGTACACGTGCTGCATTGCTCGCTAAGTACTTAAAAAAAGATATTGACGTTTCAAGAGTATCCGCGACCGTGGTTGCTGCTCCTAATGCTAGTTCTAGCTCTGCCGATGATTCTTTATTGGCAAAGTTAACACGCAAACACAGCAGTAGCACCACACCCAGCGTAAACATAAATCTTGAATGTAGCGAAGCTGATCAGGAGTGCTGCCGCTACTTGACAGCAGCTACTGCAAACGATGTCGTAAATGAAGACATTTTACAATACTGGAGGGGGAACAAGGAAGCTTTTCCTCTTCTAACTGGACTTGTAAGGGCTATTCTCGCAATTCCAGCTACCAGCACACCCAGTGAGAGGGTATTTTCTATTGCTGGCCTTACCGTAACTGCGAAAAGATCGCGACTTAGCCCAGGACGCGTGAATAAAATTATTTTTATTCATAACAATTACGATTTGTGTAAAGATAAAGAACACACACAGTAATAAATGCCTAATAAAAGTTTTCATTCAGTCATACGCAATTATTTTTCTTTAATTTAGTTACTCAAAATACTCGTACTCAAACCTACCTACCTACAGTACCTACTGCTGGAACTGGATAGCTCCTAGATTTTTATTAAAAAAATACCTACGCCGGCGCGTAACAGTAGCGCGGCGCGCACGTCTACACCGGACATACACTCATGCGTATGTACGAAGTGCCACACACTTGTCCGGAAAATATTTCAATTAATGTTTTAGTGTTGTTTTTATTCTGTTTTACAAACATAATTTGTAAACTCATATTTTGTACTACCAATTTTATGGACCAAAAGTCTGAAATAAATTCATTTTATTTTAATTTTATTTTTTTAAGAATTGATCGCTAATAGATAAAAACTGTGTGCCACTGATGAACATGTCCCAGAATAACTCCAAATATGTCAAAGAGCATCGTTACATTGAATTAGCCGATAAAGATTTTAACTCCGGTGAAGCTTTGAATTCAGTAAACATGCCGCCGAATGGCTCCAAATTCAAAGATGTCTATGTCAATCTATAAGTAAGTCTGTAAAATTTGTTACTCCTTGCCATATACAGCACGTCTTCCAGTATCAGTAGAAAAGCGCCATTATTTAGAATAAAGTGAAGAGACTCTGATGATTCTGTAAAAGAATGGACTATATACCGTCAGTGGAGATGTCGCAAAACAGTTCTGATTCCGAAGAAGACAATCAGTCGATATCATACTTCGTGCCACCTACCAATTTCCACGATAAAAAAATCAGTAAATAAATCAGATTCGTCAGATCGGATTTAGCAGAAGATAAAGAATTATAATTGAAAACGGTGTAGTAGAGCAGAAATCACATAAAAAAAATAAAAAAAAAAGCAATCCCTTGTTTTTCCTTATAATTGTTTTTAACACTACACATGAATAAAGTTTTGATATTCTTACTATAGCACATTTTATTTTACACTTAGTAGCAACTTTTCAAAATTACATAACAAAAATATACCTATGCTAATGCTAACCAAAAAAGCGGTTCCGTGAGATTAATTGTACATTTGACTACCTTTTAGTTTAGTTGCACTTCTACTTAATTTGATTATTTGCTGATAAACTTATACTATAAGGCAGTTATATCACTTAACAGCAATAAAGTGTAGCCCAAGTGTATAATTTAAACAAAGCGTCAAAAATTAAAAAAAAGTTAAAGTAGGTTAGCCACATTTTTGCGTATGATTATTATCAATGCTATCTAAAAAGCAGTTAAGGTATACTTAACGGCCTTATGATGTATGTTGTGCTTATGTTGTAATTAATATTCAAATACAATGTTTCAATACTTACGTTAACTACATTTTTAGAGTTTAAAGAACAGTATGCCAATAATTTCATTCAAACATATTTATAAAAGATTCGTAATTTTTTTTACATGGATTCCAATAGTCGAAATATTTTTTTCGGTGATATCTATCAAGAAAACCAACTTCGCGCTTTTTTTTTTTTTTCAACTTTTCTCGAAACATACTTTTGTGGCTTAGCCGCCTTCTTCCGTATCAGGGCAGTATAGATTCCCTTCCAGACAAATTATTTTCAATTAATATATAAACATAATATACTTTTCTAGAAATGTGTCTGAATTTGCTTTTGCCTTTTACTTTTTAAATGATACTCTGTTACATTAATGTTTTCTCTGCTTATTTCAATTTGATATCCTCCGTGAAACCTGACATGTTCACTATAATAGGACCTTGCCTGTTGAATTTAATATGTTCCTAGGGCAAATAATATAACTTCACTATATTCTAGATGGGGTAATATAATATTAGTATTGGAATGAGCTGTAATACTAGTAAAATCAGATGTTTGTCTATTCACATTCATACTATTTATAAAATCAGATACATTATTGTTTAATGGAAATCGTTCTCTAATCACATTTATGATTTGCTCAGCATCATTCCTGTTTTTTAATCGAACATTGAATTTATTTAAAATGCTTGCAGCTATGAAAAACATATGCATCATATGTGGAACAGTTTTATTAAAACAACCTTGCCGAAATATTTTAAAGTCTCGTTTGTAGTACCCGTTAACAACTTCCACCACCCATCGGCATAATATGGTCCCACAACGACTCCTGTTAGTTTGCTCAGTGGTGAGCTGATGTTTACCCTCAAGCAGGGATTCTGGCATATATGTTCTGTAGCTGCAAGCCTCTAACAAACTAATTGAATCTCTAAATCCCCTGTCTAGAATAAAAACATCGTTATTTTGATTTGTCTGAGAGGACAGTTTTCATCTCTGAAAAGAGACTTCATTATATCTGCATCAGTTGTGGTAGCTTTGTATGGGCCAAAGCAGTCTACAATGTAGCCATCAGATGTCACCAGCAAAAATGGTTTTAACAAGTTTTTGTATTTATGTAAGGAATATGTGTCCTTTTGGAACATATAATTGGAACTTTTGTTTATAAAAACACATGTCCCATCACATATAATTATCGCATTTTCATTATTTTGATTATAAATTGCATTCAGAATCATAAATTTGTGTTGCAATAATTGCTCACGGGATATGTGTTCAATTCCCAGATTTCTAGGCACAAAATCTTTTACCAATATTTCCCTAACCTTATCCATTAATCTTTCTAATGTTCGCCTTGGAACCAACACTAACTGAGATAACTGGTCATCTGATTCACCAGTTCTCATCTTCATTAGAAGAGCACCTAAACCTAAAATGCCTCTATTTGTTTCTACAAGACGGGGTGTTTCATATAATAAAAGTTCAAATTGTTGTTTATTCATTCCGAGCCAATAATGAAACAAATGCTCATCAATTCTTTTAACACTTTCCATATTCGAGCAATCAAGAAATGTGTTGAAAGCATTTATAAAAGAAAGAGCATGTTCCACTTGTTCAGCCGTAAATGTTCTCAAACTATTTTGAGAATTGAACAACATATCCCAATCAGTACTAAATGTATGCTCTACACAAATACGAGCATTTATAGGCAAGTAATATTTGTGTTTGCTAAGAGTTGTTGCTCTTAGAGGGTCAGAAATTCTATGCAAATCTGTGTTCTGGCAACCAGAAAAAACACAATGTGCTGCAGTGTTTGCCACTCCTCTATACTGCGGCAAACTAATCACCCGAGGTACTTCGTCATCTTGCTGGTCGGTATTTGATGGGCTTTGAGGTCCTTGGGGTTGAGGCTCTGGCTCCTGCTCCAGCTCTGGCCCTGTCTGCTGCATATTACGTGTTGCAACTCTCTTGAGTCTCAGCTGTGGGATGACAAACATGGTCTGTTGAAGTTGCCTGAAACAACCATACAGCCTTGTCTTAACCCCTTGTGTGGCGACCGGCCAGATTCTGGCCGATGGTTAATTACGCGCGTCTGGCAAGCGACCAGATTCTGGCCGATCCGCGACTGCGTATTTGGCGGGTAAAATAACCAGCGACAATGATTTTTATCACACTTTTACTTATAGAAAATTATAAACCAAAGAAAGAGGATGCGATACAAAGCTACTAAAGTACTACAATGTGTAGAAATTTCGAATAAACAGCCTATGTAGCAGTCGCATGCGAACGTCACTTTCATGTGGTCACCCGTCCCGGTTTTTGTCCTTATTTTTATTCCTAAATCGAACAAATAGTGAAGTTAAGTGCTATTCAAACATAGAAGGGTTAATAACCAACAGTTTTTAATTCATAATTTAGGGATATGTATCCTTTTTATAAAAAAAAAATCGAACATAAACGGTCGTTATACTTACTTACCTTACATTTATCTCTATTGTTGATTAAAAATACATTACATTCTTTTTAGAAATGAAACTTTGTCTAAATTAAGGACTTGAGCCATACTTAATGTTAAAATTATCGTACGCCACTTGACTTGCTCATTTCTCAAAATAAAACTAACAATATATGCTATTTTTTGTGCGACGCTTGGGTTGCCGTTCATGTGTTAAGATTGTAAAAAACTTTTGAGGTAAAAATATATAGGAATGTGTGGTTTTTTTGCTTTTTTATTATAAATTAGTGTATATTGATGAAAATAAATTACATTTATTTTATAAAAGAATGATTTTTATGTTTAATTTTCACAAATTATGCACAAAATACTATTAAAAATTTGGTTTTCCAACTTTGAAATTGGCTTAATAAAATCTATTAAGTTGTATTCAACTAAGATATCTACAGAGTAATAGCAAATAATATAACAATTCATATGACATAAGTTTTATAAATAGCTTCCATACAATATTTTAGAGAAATTACTAATTTAATCGCCACGCGCCGATATCGCAAAATTACCTGCTAAGGCCCTAGCAGACGCGTCGTATTTGCAAAATGGCCTGCCGGCAGACGAGGGGTTAATATAAATGTTTTGGCTCATTATTATTAAACCCGAGCAAATAGAAACACTTTTACAAAACAATATAAAATTCACTATAACATTGATACCAAGATAAAACAAAAAAAAAGTATAATATAAAAAGGCAATTATTACCTGCCATGGGGAAATTCTATTTTCAAACTCAACATGTATTGCTTGTTGCAACTGAGATGGATTCCTCAGAGAACTTTCACAAAGTATGCAAACAAGCTTGTGGCCACGGGAAGATGAGGCACCAGGTTCATTAGGTAACCCGGAGTTGACATGCTGTATTGCCAATTGCTGACAGGCATCACATACATTACACACATAATCTTCTTCAGTGATCTAAAATAAGAATTAGAGTTGTATGATGATGTATGATTGATTAGAGTTGTATTACGATGATGTATTATGTTAGTGTAATAAAATAAGTAGGTATGTAAATACGTACTAAAAGGTTATAGATAGATATATAAGGGATGTAGCTCTAGCTACGAGGCCCATACATTACAACCAGCATGCTTACCGCAGAGGCAAATCTACGGAAACAGCCCTGATCAGTGTCATTGACAAGGTCAAAAAAGCACTGGAGGATAAAGAAATTGC